TCCTCTGCACACCATCTCTCCTCGATAAGCATCAAGTTCTCCGGTAGTCCAACTTGAAGTTGGCAATCCCAGTGCTGCTTGGTGTGCAGAAGACTGGCAGGAAAGGGTCCCGGCTGGGAGGGGAGGCTCTCTGCGCCCCCATTCCTGCACACGCGGGCTGGAATCCAGGTTGCTGGAAGCGGCGGGAGGCTCGAGCCTGCCTGGATTGTGGTGGTTATTCCTCTAGAGGAAAGAGGGGATAGAGAGCGCTTGTCTTGCACTTTGGGTCGGAAGTGCGTGCGTGTGTGTGTGTGTGTGTGTGTGTGTGTGTGTAGGGGGCGGGAAAGAAAGGCACTCTCCGCTGCCTGTCATTCCCATGCACCGGCCAAGTCCTCGCCAAGCCTCCCGGTGCATCCTTCCTCCGCCACCCCCTCCCCTTCTTCCCTCAGCTGGGCTCGCGCGGCGCAGCCGGAGCAGCCAGTGAGAGCAACATCCTAGAAAGAGGGGGGAGCACCACCGCCCCCCCAAAGAGAAAAAAGGCCCCACCCTGACACGTTTTGCAGTTTGCAAGTCCCTCGCACCCCGCCACCCCCGCACCTCCTCCTCCCGCTCGCGGTCCCCCCACCCCAGTCCTCTGCGCGCACATCAAAGCTCCTCTCTGCCGCGCTCAGTGGCCGCGGCTCACTAATGGGATTGCAGGCTGGTGCCTGGCTCCGCTGCTGCCGCCGCCGCTGCTCGCGCTGCTGCTGCCGCCGCCGCCGCCGGAGCCCCAGCCCGAGCCCCCGCCAGCCCGAGCCCAGAGCCGCCGCGCCCAGGGGCCGAAGCCGCGGCGATGATCCGAATCTTTCCGGATTTCAGCGTGCAGGTGACGGCCGCAGCGGCTGGCGGGGCGGCCGCGGGGGTACCGGCCGGCGCGGGCATGGGGAGGGCCAGCGCCGCGGCCAACGGCACCCCGCAGAACGTCCAGGGCATCACCTCCTACCAGCAGCGGTGAGTAGTCCCACCTGGGCTGGGAGAGTGCCCCCCACCTCGGGGTGCCGGGGTGGGACTCACTTTGCCTTCTGTTTTATGCCTTAAAACCCACATGCACATCGCTAGGGCTCACTTTGCTTGCCCCTTGTCCTACAGATGAGAAAGAAAAATATATTTCACAGTCCTGATTGAAAGGCACTCCGATGTGCTGGCAAAGTGAAATCATCTTTTTGCCTTCTGCCCTGCCCCAAATCCAGAGCCTCAGCCCCGCGTAGCCAAAGAGTTGCAGCGAAGTCTGAGACACCGCACAAGGTGCTTTTGCAAAGTTTGGGATCCCTGTCCCCTTCAGAGGTATTTTCTCAGTGCCTCTGCCGGGTGCGGACTGGTGCTGACGGGCAACCAGGGCGGCAATTGATCACCGGAGGCTGATTGATCATTTGTTTCCAAACAGAATAGGAACGATTTTCACGTGTAGCTGCAGACTTGCAATTCTACATAATAGTGTTACCGTGTCACCTGTTACTACAGGGAAATACAGCCTGAAATCCGAGTCTCCTCGCGCTGTTAAGTATTCATCTGAAACGCTTTATAATGCAAATACCTAACATTCAGAGATGCGAGTTAGGAAGCAAAAGGAAGCAAATTTTACAAAGTTAGGCTAGGTGGTGAGAAACAAGCAAGTTTTAAAGTATGATTTGTTTGCATTTCTCCCAAATGTTTATAGAGTTTTTAAAAATGTGACTTTTTGGCGTTGAAATAATAAACGTTCTTTGATTCAGTTAGGAAAAACAGGGGGAAAATTACCATCACCAACGCCCTAGAACCCTAAAGTTTTTCCTTAAGGACAACTTGTGATGTTCCAAGATTTTATGGAAAATGTAATCACAAAGATATGGTGAGAAAAACTAACAATGTAGTATGAAAGGTAAGCTTCCCGTGTGTGGGGCTCAGTTTTTTTAGAAGATGAAGAAAAAAGGAACACATGAAAATGTGAAATTAAATATTTGTGTTTCCCAGATTGCACACGATTAAACATCTGAGAAATTTGCCAATGGCATTTGACTTAAAATATACACAATGCATAATTCAAACAACAGTTCCTATTTTTACCTTGTATTTCAAACTTCATTGATTTGAGAACCTTTGATTTGAACCAACAGTGTTTAAACTGAAAAGGTTAAGATAATCTATCACTGCCATATTTTGTGCCTTCTAACCAATGGCCCAGCCACCAGAGGAGATTTTGCATAACACGTTGAGTGTTTTCCAAGTTGATGCCCAATGTTGCAAATATTCTGTAGAGACTTCATTATATGCTCTGAGTACTGTCAGAAGTTTTAAAAAGAGTCTTGGAAATAATTCAAAAAGAGGGTGTTCCTTGTACAGAGATTTTTTTCTTTAAATTATTCTAGCCTTGTTTTACTTCAGTGATTACAAGAACCTTTAATACAAAAGATCTGGGAATCTTTCAAACATAAAGGACTGAGAAAAGAATTCGATTTTTTTCATAGTTCAGGTATTTTTTTTTTTGTCATTATAAAATATTTAAATGACAACAGACTCTGGTGGTCACTTTAACTAGGAAGTGCAGGCAATAGTCACAATAGTGTGGACTGTGAAGTAGGGATAAAGGGTCAGAAATGTCAGATGGCTTTTGGATAATTCCAGGGAATTCCAGGCATTGAGGGAGGCTGTGAATTCAGCCTGTGGGTTTGTTCTCAGTGTTAGTGTCCTTCACCAGGGAGATATTCCCAGGTCCAATTTCCCTGCAAATCAGGAGTATCCAGGGGTAACTCTCCACAGTTCCCTACTCCAACACTGAAAGCTCGCTGATGCTTTCCACCTTCATCTTTGAATTGGGGCCACTTCATCAAGTCACATAATCCCACTTCTAGTTCTAAGGACTAAAGCTTTAAAAATAATCAACTCTAAAATTTAGCTTTTGGGATATGTTATTCCCTTCCTCTCTTTCTCTGTTCTGTTCGGTTCTGTTCTAGCAGGGAAAAGAAGGTGCTAGCTGTGAAAAAGGTAGCCTTTGGTTTCTTTACTCTGATTTGATGACACCTGTTACTGCTTTTAGTTTTAGTTAATTTGGAGACAGGAGAGTGAGTCATGTGGGTCAAGATTATTGGCAGGTGTTTGAGGGAGGGTCTGAGCCAGGAGCAAAGTCTCTTCTCTTCCGGCACTTCATCCGGAACATAGGCCACCAACATGTTAGGTTTTAGAGGCTATGAGGGACGGACTTAATTTCTGCCTCAAGTTCTGGATATGATTGCTAAAGTGAATGGTGACACATCATTTTACCAAAAATATTTTTGCATTAAAAATTTCTGGGGAGTCTGATGAGGACGTGATGTGAATGGTGGTAGTGGTGGTCCAGGGGTGAGGGTCCCTGCAGAGTGGCCTGTTTGGAGAACACAAGCTCTTCTCATTTTTCATCTTTGGGCAGAAAAGCCCTGGGCTGGCTGTCCTGGAGTTGTCCAACTGGTGAATTTCCCTCCTCCCTGCCAGCCCATGTATCTTGGACTCAACACTCTCAAGTTCATTTCTTCAATCACTCTCATCTTCTACCTGTAGAGTGTACTCCAAAGATAATTCAAACACCATCATACAGATTGAACACCTCTGTTATGAAAAACACGTATTTTCAGTTTCCAACTCTGAACTTCACTTTACTGGAATGGTAGGTCCGAGTGGGACCCCTTTTCAGTTCTATTTTTTTTATTAAAAGTAAAGTGCAAAGCCTCACATAGGACTGATATTTTCCTCCTGGCTCTATCATTTATTCAAGTGCTTTGGGAGTCCTTTCCACTTTCCTAGTTGACACAGGACTAATCCAACTCTCTTCCCCCAAAGCTGCCAACAGCAAGTAGAGTGAGTTAGTGGAAAGAACGCTCTGACCAGGGTCTACCCAGGTAACAGGATTCCGGCATTGGTCCTGCACCCAGAGGCGCTTTCTCTAGGCCTCGCTGGACTGCAAAATGGGGAGCGCAGCTGGGCTCTATAGAACCCCCGGCCCATAGTTCGGGCCGATCCCGTCCCAGGTACCAGGAGCCCAGTCGGGAGTAGCGTTTGTGTGTAACTGCATTTCAAGTCCTGGGGATTCACATGTGAACCCCGGAGTCTAAAGATATGTGCGGGCCAAATGCAGATGCTCCTGCTAGGGAAAGGCAGCGGCTGAGAGCGCCGGGATCACAAGGTGCCTGTGCCGCTGCGCCCGCCCGCCGGGCTCTGGGGCCACCGGCTTGGCCAGCGCACTCCCACCCGCGTGTGTTTCCGCTGTCCCCGAAGGCGCGCCCTGGACGCTGTCCTGCGCGAGCCTGCTCCAGTGGCCTCCCAGTTCCTCCTCTCCTTCCCCCCTGGCTGTGATACTCCATAGAAGGGAAGTGTTCAAAACTGCAACTGAGTGGCGTTGTTGCGCCAGCAGCCGAGCTTCCCAGTCCCCGAGCGAGCGAGCGAGCGAGCGAGCGAGAGAAGAAGAGAGAGAGGGAAAGAGTGAGAGACGAAGGGGGAGTGGGGGAGAGGGAGGAAGGAGGAAGAGGGAGGAAGGGTGGGGGAAGAGAAGGGGGGTGTGTGTGTGTGTGTTTGCGTGCGAGAGCGCTTTGGAGCAAAGGAGCTGGAAAATGCCCAGAAACACTTTCACAGCGGTCAAGCTGGGAACCCCCTGCGTGTCCTCCTCCTCCCCGCCCCTCCTGGCGTAGGCCCCGACCGCCCCCCGCAGGAACGGTGTGTGCCCCACCTGCCACTGGCCCAGCTCTGGGTGGCGAGGGTGAGGGGTGACTGTGGGGGGTGTGGCGGCGCGCAGCGGTGAGAGCCCGGAGGCGGCGGGGCCCTGGGCCGGGCTGCCCGCGGGGCCGCGCGGCAGCCTCCCCCGCCGCCTCCCCCTCCGCCGCCGCCGCCGCCGCCGCCGCCGGTCGCTGTCTCCACGCTGGGCATGTCTTGGGAGCCGGAGCGGCCCGGGCCGCGGGGGCTCTGCGGCGCATGGACGGCGGCGGCGGCGCCCGGCGAGCAGGGGGAGCAGAAGGCGCAGGCGGCGGAGGAGGCGGCGACCTGCAGCGAGAGGCACCGGCGGCGCGAGGGGACGGCCGGCCGCCGGTGAGGCTCGGCCCCACTACTTTTCCGTAGCCTCCCTGCCTCAGCAGCACGGCCGCCGCCGCCAACACGGCCTCGGCCACGGCCACGGGCGCCGCTGAGCGCCGCGCACGCCCGCACTCACTCCCGCCACCCCACGCACACGCACACCCCCCGCCCTCCCCACACCCCCCACCCGGGAGGGGGAAGAGAGGCAAAAAGTAAGAGAGGAAAAAAAATAGCAGGAAGATGGCGCCCACCAAGCCCAGCTTTCAGCAGGATCCTTCCAGGCGAGAACGGTAACACTTTTCTGTTTATTGAACCTGCCGCCTGGGCGGCTGCTCCCGCCGCCTCCGCCGCCGAGGTGGCGGGGCTCGCTCCGCAGCCCGCCTCCTGGGCCGCGAGCCCGCGGGACCCGGGCTGCCGGCTTGCGGCGGAGCGCTCGCCCGCGGTCCCTGTGCGCATTGTCCGCCCGGCGGCGGCGGCGGCGGCGGCGGCGGCGCCAGGCTCTCCGAGCAGTTGCACCAGCTCGGCTCGGCTCGACTCGCTGACAGGAAAAAAAAAAAAAAAAAAAAAAAAGAGAGAGAGAGAGAAAAAGAAAGAAAGAAAGAAAATAAAAGAAAAAGAAAAGAAAAACAAACAAAAAAGAGAAGGGGCTGCTGTGTGCCGGGGAGCAGCAGTGAGGGTGGGGGCCGGGGGATCCCCGGGGCCGCCGCAGATCCCTTGGCAGCTGCTCTCTAGGAAGGAATGAGGCTGGGGAGGGGGAGGGCAGGCGGGCGAGAGGGGCGGAGGAGAGGAGGAGGAGGAGGAGGAGGAGGAGGCCGGGGGCGGGGAGCGCGGGCTCGCGCCAGGCCCGGGCTGAGTCGCCGTGGAGCCGTCTCCGCGCGGAGCTGCTAGGCCAGGCGAGGAGCCGAGCGGGGCGCGTGGCCGCTGCCTCCCGGCTGCCCAGGCTGCGCCCTTAGCCTCGGCAACTAGTGGGTCCCCGACTTTGCCCTCCGCTCTCCTTTTGCCCTTCTCTCCTCTCTCCCACCCCACCTGCCCACCCTCCCCACCCCCGCAGAAAAAGGAAGAATAAAGAGGAAAACCCCCCAATTCAAATAGGCAACCAAACAGCGAGATGTAAAATGTGCCAACAGTTGTAGCATCTGTGCCCCGTTAGTTACTGTTCTGGGATCTGTGTTTTAAAAAGTTCCTGGTGAGAATTGCATATCCAGGCAAGGAGCTCATCCCAGCATGTCTGTTTGAAGTTAGTTAAACTAAAGCCAAAGGGAAAGGGAGTTTGAATTCAAATTATCCCTCACCGTCCTTCCTACATGAATGGCGTTGTTAGGTTTCAGAGGAACTAAACACCCCCACGTGGTTTCCCCTCCTGCTGTCCACGCAACCTACTTTGTTTGGCATCGTTTTGCTATTAATTGGCAACCTCAATGACATTAATTGCGAATAGCATATTGGTTTGAGCAAAGTGATTATCTCTGTCTCTGAAGAGGAAATGCTCCACTGGAAGTAGGAAATGTTACTTCCATGGATTCATGAGGAAAACTAATAGAGTTAGATATATGTACCCCTCACCCCGCCCTCCGCAAAGATGTTTCCTTTCCTCCCAGGCTGAAATGAACTTGAAGATGAGGGAAGTTCTTAGTTGCAAAATTTAATTATTATTACACGGGCATTTTAATATTTGGTACAACATAACATTTAACCTATAGCTTATATCCAGAGAAAGCAAGGAGATAGTTAAACAAGGCGTTTATTTAAAAAGCTTTAGTTGCACTATTGCTTGTTTCCTTCATACAATGAGGACTTCAGAGTGATCAGGATTAAGGAAATAATTTTGTTAGGTAGGTACATACTAACTCGAAACTCTAGATAATGTCTATATAAATCATACACCTGAGAGTAAACCACACATAATCCAGCTTTTAGAGATGTTAAGTGGGTATAGCATTTGCTACTGAAAACTCATATAGCTGTAATGAACATTTAATATTAGTGTTTTATGAAAAATTTACATATCAAATACTTTTTTGATAGACAAATTTTATCAACATGACTTTGAGAGCTTTTGAAATCAGATTTTTATTTCCTTCCTTCCTCCCTCGCTTCCTCCCTTCCTCCCTTCCTCCTCCTCCTTCCCTGGTTCTGTGGGTTGTAGATGTATTTACTGGGATGGCCCCAGTAATCTCTCTAGCAGAAGCCTATTTGTGTGCCATTTTGGGAATTTCTCTGAGATAGGAATCTTGAAGATAGAATTAATTTCTAGAGGAAACTTCATAGCCTGTGCATGAGTGCGTTCTTTATCACCTGTCTCCATTTGGCATTCGAAGAAGGTAAATCAAAGTGCGCGATTTGTTATTCTGCTCCACTTGAGAGCTGAACTAAATAACACTTGGTCTGAAATTCTGATTGAAGTTGTAGGAGGATATACTGTATTTAATTTAATGCCCTTTAATAGCATCTTCTTGTTCAGCTCGGATGCTGTCATTTTAAAGGTTGAATCTGAGAAGGTTTAACCTGTAGGGAGAGGGAGGAGTAATAAGGAGGTAGGGGTGTAGAAGGAGCTGCATAGAGGAAGGAATGAAGGAGTTACAAACTAAATGTTTCAAATAGTAATAACCGCAGACTTGGCCCGGTATCCAAACAGTTGTTTTATGCCCTGAGGGTTCACTTTGTTTTTAGGGTTTTAAATGTTCTTAACACTTTAAGTGTAAACATTACACATGTCAGTTGTTTTGGTTTTGTAATGAGAAATGGTTAGTCAGATGGTTTGTTCAAGAGGGGTTTGTTTTAATAGTTACTTGTGAAGTAGAGTTATTTCACCTTGATGTTCACTTTGTGCCTGAAACTGGTTGGTTAGTAGTAGTATTTCTTAATAATGGTTGAACACAAATAGGTTTATAAAAGATGACTTTCTGTGAAAATGCTTTGTCAGAGACTTTTAAGCTTTTCATTTCATGGTCCACGTAAACTAATTACTAAAATTCTGTGGCGCACCAAAAAAATATATGTTTTTCCAATCTGACAAAAAAAAATAGGTATACTTTTGATTTATTCATGCTGGATGGCTACTGTTGTGTTAGTTGTCATTTTTTAATTTGACAGTCAAAGGGAAAAGAGGTTAATGCCCCTGACTAAACCGGCAGGTATTGCATGTTTTAAAAACTCTTGCAGCATGCTGGTTGATAATCACTGCTTTAAGTGATATTCTTTCACTCATTTAAAAAACTGTTTTCAAATCACTAATTTCATAAAGGCATTGATGGACACTATTCTTGACTGCTTTTCAAATATACCAGTAATAAAAAACTTACATAGAAAAATATCTTTTGAATTGTCTTACTATTTTTGAAATATCTGACCTGAGTAAAATAAGGCAGTAAAATATTCATTTCCTTCTAATAGTGCTTACGAAGTGAATTTTAGAAATGAAAAAACAAGTTGAAAACCTTGTATATTTAAACTTGTTTGACTTTTCTTTAAACTCCAATAGGTTGCAAATTATGTAGCACTACCAAAGACTTTTTCCACTATGTGGATGTATAACCAAGCAAATTGGACTGACAGAAGTGTCAAGCATGTGATATACCCATGCTGGTTTGCAAAGCATATTTCTGTAGCACAGAGCTTTTGGTTCAAAAAGTAAAGGTGGTGGTGGAGACTTTTGGGGAGGCATTTCTTTCTACAGTGTAAGCTTAAACACAGAGTGATAAATGATGATATGCGTTGTCTAACACTTGCTTATATATAAATAGCTCCACAAGATTGCTTAAATGATAATCGAAAATATGAAATAGGATGGCCTTCATATCACAAGGCCAAGGGTCTACAAATGGAAAAACTGAAATAATGAAATATTTCCAAGGCAACAGACTGTCAACAAGAACTGTAATGCATGGGCATATCATGGAACCACCAGAGAGGATATTAGGTCGTGTAGCTCCAGAGCCAGGAGTTATAATGATCTTTATTATGTAGCACCCTCCCACATTACAACATCGTTTCATATTTCCAATTTCTAATTTATCAATTAAGAAACATATAGCTACTCCAAATCTGTAATGTGCCAATTACTAGGTTTGATTTGTTACAATGAGCAAACTTGAATTCTATGTTATTTGATGCTTTTGGTAAAAAAAAAAAAAAAAAAAAAAGTTACATGAGGTAGTTTTAGTACCTAATGGTATCGTGAGTAAAATTTAGGTCCCTGGGTCTTTACATGTTCTTGGAAATACGACTTTTATTTTTACTTAAAGTTATGTGAGAATACTTTAACTCTCAGCAATAAATTGGTAAGAATTGCATTGCAGCTTAAATAGAATCTAATGATTGGAATAGCTTGATATTTTTAGTGATATGAAGTTTGATTTCCCCCCAGAATTCTTCTACATGATGGTTGCCCCTACAGTAGAGCTATGTTATAGGAATATCAGGATTTCCATGAACCCCTTGACTCTTTTGCTCTGCCCCTGATATTAGACTGGAATCCACTGGCTTGTTCAAATTGCATGTATATGGCTTGTTCACATTGCATGTATTTAAAGCAGGACCTGAAGTCCAGAATTCCCTTGCTCTGTAGCGAGATTTTCTACAACAGTATATATATGTGTGTGCGTGTGTGTGTATATGTATATATAGGCATATATACACACAACAGTATAGACATGCATATATACATGTGTATGAATGTGTATATATGACACACATATCTATCAATCTATCTATCTACCTACCTACTTACCTATGCAGAAAGTAGCCAGCCAAGTAATATGAAAACCAGAGATGTTTACTGAAGAAGATACAAGATACAATAAACATCGTACATAGGACAATGCTGCCTCAGACCCCTTCAAAGTGTCAAAGAGGCACCTTAGGACCTCACACAGTTCTCCCAATTGCCATCAGCTGCCCTGTCGTATTTTCCTGAATCTCATTGATGGTCTGAAATCTCTTTTGTAGAGGAGGCTGAGTTACCTGGGTGGTTTGATGTTTTGCCAAAAAAACTCTGCATGAGACGTGATGTGAGTGGGCATGTTGTCGTGATGAAGCTGCCAATTACCAGTTTCCCATGGCTGTGGCCTTCTGAATCATCCAAATAGTTTCCATGGACGAATGTTCAAGCTTAATGCAAAATCTGATGCAGATTTATTGCATTACTTGCTCAGTCATTTTGCATGTGATGGCCACACAGTACACATGCTCAGTCAGCAGTGTCTACCACCCCGACTGACTAGTACAGTGAAGTCATCACTGTTCACACGTGCACATTCCAGTCCACTCTCCTTGGCTGTTAGGTTACATC